TTGTCTGCCAGACCGGATCACCTGCTGTGTTTTAATGAAAGCTTTCAGCTGGATTGGAATAAAGGTGCAGGTGGGGGAGGGATGGTCAAGTCCCAGTGCAGAGATATGAAGAGAAGTGTCTGCATGCCCCATGGGAGGTGAGTTTAAGCTGGGAACTGGAAGGGATTCAGAGACCGTGAATGATATTGGGCAGCTCTACAATTCAAAAGGTGGAAACGTTTCTGCTCCATCTTGTGGCAGCCTTTGTGGCTTTACTGGTGCTATTCAGGACAGTGTGTATTCCTCCTTCTCTTGCTGAGCATAGAGATGCAGCATTGGCTCTCCAGGAAACTGGAGCTTTCAGGGCAAGGTTTGCTCTTCATTGTCCTTGTGGTGGACGGTCATAGTTCCTCTAGGCTGTTCCCGCACATTGGGATTTGAAAACAAACCTCTCTGATAGGGATATAAGCGACTAGTCAACTAATGGGCTACCCAATAAGCAAATGTAGGAACTTGGCTAGTCGCTTCTCTCCCCTCGGTCCCTTTTGGCCTTGGAGCCACCCCGTAGGTAGCTGCACTTCAGTGTTGGATGAAGTAATTCCTTGTCTGTCTGGACATTGGTGTGTGGTGTTTGTTGTATGCTTTGGACTCTGGGTGCTTTATAAGCACTTGTTGCTGGTTGTTTGCTCTTTGAGTTATTGCTGAACATACCGTTTGGGTGAGGAGGAGAACAAATGAATAGTGGAGTCATTAGTTCAAGGACCATGGATGTGCTTTGTAGGAGTAATAGCTGTTTGCATGGCAAATAAGTGGCTAAAATTTAGAGGCTTAGAAATAAGATTAACATTGCATTTTCAAAACCAAACAGTACAAGGGGTGGAACATCTTGTCAGAGATGAAACATAGCAACGATCTGCTCTCTCCAAGGCAGAGAGGCCACCAGGAAGCAGTTTCCTCATTTAGGCAAAAGGTTGTAGAATTGGCTGCAGTTGCTCATGTATAAATTGGAAGCACTGATAATTCCAGGCCCCCTGAATGCTTGGGAGTTGGTTTTGCCTTGGCTGCCTTGATCTGAGATGGCAGATGGAAATGAGATTTTAAGCAGTTTGTTTCAGGTTGTTTATAAACTAGTTGACTGAGCTCTGTCGTGACAGTAAAGAGAAGCCCAGGCATTGGTGTTGTGTTAGGCTTAGTATAGTTCTCCAGCTGTCATCCCTACATGCCGTTACCCAATGTACCATTCTCCTGATTTGGGAGGCAAATCTAGCTGTGTTTGGGAGCGCCCCAAAGGATTAGATACCCCTTTCTTTTTCCTTTCCTCTCATGAGTACCCAAAAGAGAACATGCCTTCCTCTCTAATGCTGGTGCAGGGACTGTACCTTTGTCCTGGATTCATAGACTCTAAGCCTGAAAGGGACCATTGTGTGACCTCCTGTCTATTGCTGGCTGCAGAACTGACAGCAGAGGCATTCTCACTGGGGCTGCGTGCCAATTGTGGTTACAGGCATTGCCTACTGGGCCCTAAGAATTGTCTTTCATGTTGCTCCAGTGGCAGGTGTCTAGGTAATTTTGGTCTGTCCTTAGGGCTGTGTTCTTCAGCTGGTCCATGTATAGTGATTCGCCAGGTTCAGAAATCCATTTCTCAAAGTCCTCAGCACAGAGCTCTGCAACCCTGGGATATTGCATCAGTGCAAAGCATTCACAACAAAGGCATGAACTTGGCCGTGCTTGGGCTCTGCTCCTGGCTCCTGTTGTACAAACTAGCCTTGCTTGAAAGGCAGCAGCTGTGTTAAATGTAGAACATCCTACTTTTAATCTGGAGGATCAGCCTGGAGAGAATGCAGTTCTATGTACAGCACCTTTCCAGAATGCATACAGGGACCTGAATCTCTCCTTATGCTTGTCTGGGCCCCCATCATTACAGTGCCTGAGAGCATCACAAACATAAATGGATGTATCTTCCCAACACCCTATGACATCAGGAAGTATCCCTGTTGTACAGATGGGAAACAGGCATAGAGAGATTGACTAACCTGTGCCCACTGGGACACTGCAAGAATGCCTTATTCACACATCCCTAACTTAGCAAACTACACTTCATTTAAATATCAGCACAGCTGCAATGTATCTGTGTATGCACAGTGGTGTATGGCAAGCTGTCAAGAAGCTTCTTGGTTAGATGGAGTTTGGGCACTCATGCGATAAACTGTTTGTTGTTGATGTTGGTGTTGTGGCCTGGCTGTGGCTGTGTACAGTTGTTCTGGGTGCTTTCTGCATCACCCTCCCCTGGTCTTGTATATCTGCTGGGTATTATGTCCTCAGTGCTTTCTACCTCAGCATGCCTCTGTTGTGTTCATGTGATGGTTGATCATCCCCTCATGGCCTGTATCCAGAGCTGCCCCCTAGTGCCTTACTTGTCTCCCTAACTTTTGTACAGGGACTGGGTTGTTTATATTGGTGAATCTGCTGCCTCTTGTATTGTTTGGTGAGTTACAAGAAAATATCAGTAAACAGGGAAAATTAGAGAGAGAGAGCGAGTGAGACAGTGGTGAGGAAATCTGCTCTCACAGCTAGGACTGCATGGGTGGGGTTGAGGACTACTGGCCCCTGAGAGAGAATGCTTTCTTGGACATTGTGGCCATAGCTATCATACCTGTGGACTTGTGACTATTCTTGGCATCAATAAGCACTTGCTTCATCTCAAGCAGGCTTTATTTCCGTACATTTCTGGAATTGGCCTTTGTCTGCCAGACCGGATCACCTGCTGTGTTTTAATGAAAGCTTTCAGCTGGATTGGAATAAAGGTGCAGGTGGGAGAGGGATGGTCAAGTCCCAGTGCAGGGATATGAAGAGAAGTGGCTGCATGCCCCATGGGAGGTGAGTTTAAGCTGGGAACTGGAAGGGATTCAGAGACCGTGAATGATATTGGGCAGCTCTACAATTCAAAAGGTGGAAATGTTTCTGTTCCATCTTGTGGCAGCCTTTGTGGCTTTACTGGTGCTATTCAGGACAGTGTGTATTCCTCCTTCTCTTGCTGAGCATAGAGATGCAGCATTGGCTCTCCAGGAAACTGGAGCTTTCAGGGCAAGGTTTGCTCTTCATTGTCCTTGTGGTGGACGGTCATAGTTCCTCTAGGCTGTTCCCGCACATTGGGATTTGAAAACAAACCTCTCTGATAGGGATATAAGCGACTAGTCAACTAATGGGCTACCCAATAAGCAAATGTAGGAACTTGGCTAGTCGCTTCTCTCCCCTCCCCCGGAGAGGCAGCAAGGGGGGAGCAGAAGCCTGTGCTGGAGGGAGCCGGCGTAAAAGCTGGTTCCCTCCCCTTTCCCCCCTGAGCACTGTCTCTGTGGGGGGCAGTGGGGATTGAAACAGTCTTGCTCGTGCCGGTCCCACTGCTGCTCCTTTTCCTTTGGAACGCACAAGGTCCACCTGTGGCTCTTGTACGTATCAAAGGAAGAGGCACAGAGGGGTTCCTGCTGCCTCTCTCCCTTTGAAATCTATAAGAGCTGCGGGTGGGATAGCGAGTGCCCAGCTTATCAACTAATTGAGTAGTCGATGAAAATTCCATCGCCTACTCAATTAGCTGATTGATCGAAATGTCACATCCCTACTCCCTGATGGAAATGGATAGGAGCAGCTTCATTCAGGTGGTGTGTCTGTGCATGCTCCACTGCAGTTCTGTGTTCCCACATGCTCAGTGAATCAGTTCAAAGGAGAAAAGCTCAAGTTCAGAGTGTGTTTCCTTTTCTCCTTTCAGTTCAACTCTCCCCTCATCTCCCTACTAGGGCTTCATTCATGGAGCCAGGTTCTCCATTTGGTAGAAGTCCACTGAAGTCATAAGAAGTTATGCAAGTGAGAATTTGGCCCACAGTCTGTGAAATCCCAGGAGAGGATCAGGGACCATACCCCTAGGGTGGAATACTTCTGGTGTGATGAGAGCTGTTCTTTTTAGGGCTTCAAGCTGGGTAGGGGTGTCTTGTGCTGTTTGGTACAATAACACTGGCTCTGCCAGGTGATCTCCCCAGAACAGTTTTAGGGTATGTCTGCTCGGGAACTAGACACCCATAGCTGGCCCATACCAGCCAGCTCGGGCTATGGGATTGCTTCATTGCTTTGTAGGCATATGGGCTTCGGCAGGAGCCCGAGCTCTAGGACCTGGCATGATGAGAGGGGTTATGGGCCAGCTATGGGTTTGTCTTTGTTGTCTAGACACCCCAAGGCTGCATCAGGTGATTAGGCCAGCACCTAAGTAAGATTGTTCTACAAACGACTTCATAGATTAGTGGCACCAGTTCCTACTTTGTGAGGGATAGGCTCCAGGGAGAGGAGGGATGGGACCACCTGATGGAGCTGCCTCTCATCCCCGGGCTCTGCACTGCTCCATCATGCCCAGAGCCAGCCTGTCCTTTGTGCAGTTTTTGCCTCTGCCTTTGGTTGGTTCAAGCTATGGTCCAATTTTAGTGTGCATACAGGAGCAAACTTCAGTTGAAGAGCAAATGCACCAGGAGGAAAGCACATAGCCTGGCCCCACGCTCTGGAAAGGGGGACGAGGGGTGTGAGTGTGAGTGTGAGAGAGAGAGAGAGAGAGGTTTCTCTTCCAGGTATCCTCACATCTGTGTAGCACACAGCCACTGTGCTGCAGGTGCCCAACTCTGAGCAATCTCCGATTGTGTCGCTACCTGTGGCCACTGTGTATGGGACAGTTCCTCGTGCCTCAGGACATCCAAGCCCCACATTTGCCTCCCTTGCTGGCTGGCGGTGTGGCATATATTCCGTACTGTCTCCAGATATCTCTTACATTACTTGCCCTTAGGGCCGTGAGTGCTCACAGCCTTTCCCAGTCTATGGGCCAGGTGGACTCTGCTAAGGTCAGGCAAATTGTGGTGTTTGCCGTATCATCCTAGGCTTGTGTCCTGTGGTGGAGGGACAGCGATGCCTGCTCCATTGCACATGTGCTGCTGGGAGCCCAGTGTTGTCCCTGAATCTCTCTGTGATCTCTGGCATTTCATTCCCAGGTGATGACAAGTATGGACGGAAAGTAATTTTGTTCAGTGCCTGCCGGATGCCGCCCAGCCATCAACTTGACCATGTGAAACTGCTGCAGTGAGTACTGCCTTGGGGGCCCACTGCTCCTGGGACAGCCTGGAGTGGAGTCAGTCCCTATGCTCTGGGCGCTAGGGGCCAGATATACAGGCAACAGCTGCTGTTGCCAGGGATTGTCCTCCTGTATGCTCCTCTTTTTCCGCACCCAAGTGCCTCCATTTCTGCAGTGTGGCAACATTTTCCTTATGCCAGACGCAGCCAGTAGGGAGCAAGCTTATATACAGGCCAGCACATGCTGTGAGCTCAGAAGTTCCTGTGTCTTCCCAGGTATCTTAAGTTCACACTGGACCAGTATGTGGAGAGTGACTACACATTGGTGTATCTGCACCATGGCCTCACCAGTGAGAACAAGCCGTCCCTGGGCTGGCTGCGGGATGCTTACCGGGAATTTGACCGCAAGTGAGTAGGTGTGGCCAATGGGACAGGACTCCTGAGTTTTCTTCTGCAGTCTGACTTCCTGTGCGGTCCTTTTCGGAGCTAAAGCATGTCCTAGGCAAGTTCTTTCCCATCTGTAACTAGGCATCGTGGTCCTTCCTGCATCTCTACCTGCTGGGAGTTGGTGGGGATGAACGCATGTTTGTCAAATGCTATGAAGACAGGAAGTTTTCCAGACAGGCAGAGTGAGGGGCATGGACTGCTCCTGCAGAAAGTTCTCTGGGTCAGCCAGGGGCTAGCAAAGGCAAGAGTCAGTGCAAGTGTCCAGGCCGTGTGGGTGCTCCTGCCCTTGGGGCAGTCTCTCGCAGTGGAGTTGTGGGGTAGCAAAGAGCTTGGCTGAGGGTGCTGGGTACATGAGAGCTAGACAATGTGGGGAAAGTGAGGGTGCAGAATGCTAGGAAGGGGGTTAGCACAGGGAGCCCCACAGTGGGCTGAGGGTGCGGAGGTGGCGCTGGGCACACTAAGGAGCCATTTGCAGCATGGAATTGTCTAGCTCCCTGACCCAGGCAAAGCTCTCCCTCACTCAGATTCCTTTGGCAGGTACAAGAAGAACATCAAAGCGCTGTTCATTGTGCACCCAACGATGTTCATCAAGACGCTGCTGATTCTCTTCAAGCCTCTGATCAGGTAGGGGATAGGGGAGGTTGGCTCAAGCTCCCCAGGTGCAGGGGCTCTACAGCATTCCTCTGCAGGCAGGAGGGGAGCACAGGCTCCTAGCTCCTCCTCCCTCTGCTGCATTGGCCTCTCCCAGAATTTCTGAGCTCAGAAAGATCCAGGTAAAACAAGAGCCCCTCTCCTGGCATCCTGGGAAGCTCAGCCCCTAGAAAGGCCACATGCTGCAGTCATTAGCACCAGGGCAGAAGGGGAGGAGGGGAATGAAACCCAGAGGGGCACTCACTTCAGTGTGTCACCAGTGAAACCGTTAGCCCCCTGTGCCACAACTGAGAAGAGGAGCTGTCTCCAGCCTGCTGCAGAGCCCAGGGAGGGGCAGGGCTATGTGTGCAGAGCCCATCTTTGCCAGGCTTTGAGACAGCTTGTGGAGCAGCTGTAGCACTGCCTCATTGAATATGTGGGTTGAGAGAGAACTGTGTTGTGTGGTACCCTACTACTGAATCTCTCCTGTCCCCAGCACTGCCAAGGCTGCCTCAATTCCTACAGGCCCCAGGATTTCCCAGCCTTGCTCCCCAAGACAGGTCTGCTAATGCCCCCTTGCTTCTGCCCTGGGCTCCCCCCAGCTCTTCTAATGTTAGTCACTCCAGGTCCCACACAACCTGCTTGTCCTCTCTTTTGCAGTTTCAAGTTTGGCCGGAAGATTTTTTATGCGAACTTCTTGAGTGAGCTGGAGGAGCACGTGAAGCTGGGGCAGCTAGGGATCCCAAGCCAGGTGCTAAAGTGAGAGCATGCGGCCTGCCTACTCATACCCCCACAGATCTGTGAGAGAAGGCAAGGTGGAGGGCGGGGCGGGGAGACTGTGGCAAGGGGGAAGGAGGCAATAGGGAGGGGCTTTGTTTTACTCCCAAGTGATGACTCATCTGTGCTAGCAGTGCCAGGGTGCCTCAGTGAGGTGGCTCTTCCTAACCTCCCTTCCTGCCTGTCTCTTCAGGCCCACTTGGCCCTTTTGCAGCTTCCTGATCTCCTCTCAGGCACATGACCTTGCCCTCCCTGTCTGCTGCTGCCTGTGCATTCACTTTGCTCAGTAGCTCAGTGGGGCCTTCTCACTTCAGCTTCCTCTGTGGCCTCCCAAAAGTTCTTCAACTGCAACTCCTGCCTGTTTGGATCCCTGTCTTCTATGCACATGGACTCCTCCCAATAACCCCTTGCCTTCCTGCAAACCTGCCCTGCCTTCTTAGCTGCACAGTCCTTTGCCCTGGCTTTTCCCTGTCATCCCTGCTAGCTTCCCTGTTTGTATAGACCTCCCCTTGCATCCTCTTCTTTGCTGGTGGCTGAGTATTGTGGTCTCGCTGCCTCACACTTCTGAGCTGTCTGCCCTTGCCTCTACAGTGTGTGTGGGTCAGTCATCAGCAGGTGCTGTCTTTGGGGCAGTTCCCAGTGGGCCAGCAGGAGCTGGTTGTACCCATAAGACCTCGGGGTGAGTGCTGGGTGTGTGATGCAGATGCTGGTTGGTGGTGAGATGGGCAGATTCCCTACCAATCTGTGTCTCTCGCTGCAGATATGATGAGTACCTGAAATCACTGCAGAAACCTTCTCAAGTGCCCCAGAAGCCAACCCCCCCACGCCCGCCCCTGCCAAACCAGCAGTTTGGGGTGTCTCTGCAGCAGTGAGTATCTTGGAATTGCTTTGCTTTGGTGGCTGGGTCAGCCAATGCCATTGCCATTTGTATAATGCAATAGTGCAGTTGCAGAAATGGCAGCAAAATTGCCAATTTCTTGATGTTGCTGCACAATATCAGTTGTCATTTGAAAAACCCAGTTCTCTAGCTCAAGTCCTGAGCTACCCTCTGCCCACTTCATATCCTGGTCTGCCTGGGCTGCTTCTTGGTGTAAACTAGAGGCACTTCAAAGCTTCTCTATCATGCTGACAGCTAACAGCCCTCGTGGAGTTGTCAGTAACTGAGGTGTCAGTGGGATACAGGACACCTGGGATGCTGTTTTAATAGTCAGATTCTCTGGGACACATCACATCCCTGAGGCAGCTTCAAAACTGTGGAGGTGGGAAAATGACACTGGCAAATATTTAATGTATTTTTAGCTTTTAATTCAATCTTGCCACTGGAAATGAAGGGGGACCAGGCCCCATGTGCTCAGGCAGTTCTCCACGAGGTAGTTTGGGAAGTGATTTTCTAGCTCTCACGGCTCCAGGGAAAGCCTTCCTAATGGGAGATCTGTGTAACCAGCAGTGACTGCAAGCTGAGCGCAGGTGTCCTCAAGCAGCCTCTCTGAGAGGTGAACCAGCCCATTCTTTGCATTGGGATCTTGACCCTGAAGCCAGATGACGGGGCAGTCATGTCAGTGTTAGATGTTGCATTGCTGATAGTCTTGACTGAACCATCCAGCATTTTCATTGTGGGATGTAATGGCAGATGTTGAAGAGTATTACACAACAGCTAGCTGCTGTCTAGGTAGATTCCTGTACTTCCCTCCCCTACATTTAAATTCCTCTCCGTCCTTTCCTAAAATGGAGAAAGAAAAAGGATTGCACCCCATAGAGCCACTTCAGTTGTTTCCTGGTCCCTTCCCAGCAACCAAACGCTCCAGCTGAGCCTCTGATGCTTCTCAACCTAGATCAGCAATGTAACATACAGGTATTGTCGTATCAAACATCAGGATGCTGCCCTGGTTGGACTGGGCTGGGAGCAGGGAGGAGGAGCAGACTGAGGGATAGGGATGGATGCGGCGAAGGATCCCATAGAGGTTCCTGTTATGCATATATGTCAGCTGTGATGAGCTGCATGTGGGGGAGAGGTAACTGACATCCTCTAACCTTCTCTTCTCCCCACAGCCTAAGGGAGAAGAGCCCTGATCAGTCCCCTATCCCACTCGTGGTCAGGGAGACCATTGCTTATCTGCGGGAGCATGGTGAGTGCATAGGTAAAACCCTCAACCCAACTCAGGGCCATGCAGGTGCCTTCCTCTCCTCCCCACCCTAATGCCAATCCCATCCTGACAAAACAGAAGGAAAATGATAGTAGAGCAATTTGGAGCCCAAACGTGAGTGCTTGATCCAAGAAGAGAGACCCTGCCATGGCCTCCTTCCTGCAGAATATCTGGGCATGGGCAGTGCAGAGGTGTCCTGTGCACACAGAGATGCTGTTGCTCTGACAGACTTGCCAAGTGCGGTGCGTGGCTGGAAGAGTTGGAGAGCTCTGATGTCTGATAGGCCCAATCTGAGCTCTCCCTTTCCTGCTTTCCCTCCGCAGCTCTGACAACAGAAGGGGTTTTCCGGAGATCAGCGAACACACAGGTTGTAAAAGAGGTCCAACAAAAATACAACATGGGTAAGTGTCTCTCCTTAAAAGATTCAGAGGGCTAGCCTAGTTAGTCTGTAACTGGAAAAACTTAAACAGTGAATAGTCCCACAGCACCTTAAAGACTAACAGAACATGTAGATGGTGTCATGAGCTTTCATGGGTGCAACCCACTTCTTCAGATGAATGGAGTTATTAAAGGTCCAATTTCTAAATAAATAGGGATGGAGGGGGAGAGGGAGAGAAGGAAAAAGGAGGCAAAAAGGAAAGGAAGTGTCAATTAGAGTGTCCATGCTACATGAAGCTGGCTGAGAAGGTACTAATTGTTCTTAAGTGCCCATTGTTGGGTTTTTTTTATGTCACTAGAATGTGGAATGCAATGGGCCATCCACCTCTGTTATAGGAATCAAACCTGTAAATGAAGTTCGAAGGCTTCCCAGTGTATTTGACTTGTGGAATTGGCCTGAAACAATACCGTGACTTTGAGATCCATTAATGAGTGCCTGGGCAAGTTAAAATGTTCCCCAACAGGTTTCTGTGTGTTGCCTTTTCAGATATCTGATTTGTGTCCACTAATTCTTTCTCATAGAGACTGTCCAGTTTGGCCAACATGGCAGAGGGGCATTGCTGGCATTTGATAGGATAGATCACATTAGTGGATGTGCAGTTAAATGAGCCTCTGATATGGTGTTTTATGTGGTTAGGTCCTGTGATAATGTTGCTTGTGTAGATGTGTGGACAGAGTTGGCACTGAGGTTGGTTACAGGGGTGTTTTCCTAGATGAATATGATGGAGGTGTGCTACGTGGTTGCCGGAAAGAATTTGTTTGAGGTTAGGGGGTTGTCTACAAGCGAGGAATGGCCTGTCCCCCAAGGCTTGTGAGAGTGAGGCATCATTTTCCAGGATAGGTTTATAAGGAGTTGGAGGGGTTTAAGTTGTGGGCTGTAGCTGATGACAAGTGGTGTTCTGTTGTTTTCTTTTCTTGGCCTGCCTTGAAGTAGCTGATGTCTGGGTACCCATCTGGCTCTGTCGATCTATTTTTTCACTTCTCTGGGTGGGTATTTCCATTTTAAGAATGCTCTATATAGATCCTGTAGGTGTCTCTGTGCGATTGGAGCAAATCCAGTTGCACCCTGGACATAGAAGCTCTTTACACCAACATTCCTCCCCCGGTTTAGAAACTGGACCTTTAATAACTCCATTCATCTGAAGAAGTGGGTTGTGCCCACAAAAGCTCATGATACATGGTTTGTTGGTCTCTAAGGTGCTGCAAGACTATTTGCTGTTCAAGTTTCTCCTTAGAAGAAGCCAGCATTGTGATCCCCCCCCACCTTCAAGTCAGAGTTTATTCTCTGGTCCTTGCCAGTCTTGATCCTTAGTCTCTTCCCCTCTCTACTGTTCCTATCCTGGGGCTCTGTTTGGAAGACGAGCTCCACCTAGCACTACACAGGAATGTGTGAACAAGTAAGTACCTCTTTGGATCTAGACTGGGATCCACCCAAAGCATTCCACTGCTTGAATCCTGCTGGCTAAAGGGACTACACTTTACCTTTAATCTACCAGTGGATTTGTGTTTGAGCAGTGCAGAGCACACACACCCCTGCAGCCCGGGCTGGTCCTTGAGTGTCTCTCTCCCCATTTGCTCCCTGAGGAGCCTCTTCTGTTTCCCAGGGCTGGCCATACTTCCTTCCCATGCCCAGCCCTGGGAACGAGGCCAAGACGGGAGAAGACCGCTATTTGGGATGGTGAGCCTTGGGGACGTGGGGCTGGAATTAGCAGAGCTGTTGTTTGGCAAGTAACTGCCATCTCAAATGAGTCTGGTCCCATGCTCGTCCCCAGTGCGGATCTTTGACCCATGCTCTGCTCTGTTGGTCTTAAAGGAGTCTTCCCCATTGCCCCTCTACTTTATTCAGTGTGCTCCTGCTCTGGTCTCTGGGTACTGAGCTTGTGCCTGCTCTCTGTCCTCAGGAATATCGGTGGATTTCCAGCAATATGAGGGTGTTCACCTCTCTGCCGTGATCCTCAAGACATTCCTTCGGGAGCTGCCAGAGCCTCTGCTCACGTTTGGCCTCTACAACCATGTTGTCAACTTCCAGAGTGAGTTGGGGGCAAGAGGGCCCAGCCAAATGAAGCCTGAACTTCTTGTGGGCAGGGATCTTCTTCAGTCTACCCTGGACAGCTACCCTCCCTGATCCCAGGCTGTGACACTGGTGCTTTCCCAAGGAATCCAGACAGCATGGATGAGCCCTCATTGCCAAGGGAATCTGCATGGGATGGAGAAGAGAGGGAGTCCTGCCTGGGGTACCCATCCATAGGGAGCAGGGTTCCTGCCTCTCAGAGGAGCCTCCCTGTGTGAGTCAGGGCCCGCATTACCTGGGGAGAGTGGAGTGTTCTCCTTCCTTGCCAGTGTGAGCTAGGCTCTTGTTCATGTGTTTCCCTTTCAGACACTGAGGAGTCGAATCGCGTGGATGTTGTTCGCAAAACCCTCCAAGCCCTGCCTGAGGAAAACTACCAAGTGCTCTGTTTGCTGATGACCTTCTTGGCAGAGGTGAGTTGCTCCAAGGGCAGGCTCCTCCCCTCTCAGCTCAGAGCACTTGGTCCCAGCTCCATTACTGCCCATCCACTCCCCCCAATATAGATGCTGCCCAGTAGAGAGGGAGCAAGGGTCAAGCCAGGAAAGCACCTTTCGTTATCCCCCTTTCCCAAGGGCTGGAACCGGGTGTGATTTGTTGGGCTCAGGTAGTCTCTCTCACTGGGGCGGGGAATAGGGGCCCAGCTCCTGAGATGGTGAAACCTCCCACTTTGCAAGTCAAGGCCAGGAAACAGGTATGTGCACCAGATCCGGCCCTGTTAGATTAGCTGCTCCACTGGGCCAAATCTGTCCCCAGCAAGAAGGCAGAGACCTCAGGCACCCTAGTGCTTTGGGGATGCTGGATGACAACACTCCCTGGGCCCAGATATCTCTGTGAGAGCAGGAGGGTAGGATGCCAGCTGTGCAGAATGTGGTAGGGTATCACTTGCCATCTCAAAAGCCCTGCACATCACCCAAGTTGTCCTTCCCTGGACTCTAGTTGCTGCCTTCCCCTTCCCTTCCCGGCCTGGAGAAGCTAGAAGGGGCTGATAGAATGGGGGGGCGGGATTGAGTAATTTACAGTCAAACTCACATCAATTGAGCTGATTGTGTGGCCTGGGCTGGGAAATGGCTGAAGGGTGTTGGAACTGCAGAGGGTGGCTAGAGCAGGGGCCTGGGCTCATGGCTGCTGGAATCCTACTTCTGTTCTGCCTCTTCATCATCATCTGTATTGCTGCACCTCTGAGCCGGGCTGGGCTCGGTCCAACAGCCCGCGAGAGATGTCCCTGCCGTGGAGACAAGGCAGGCAGCGTGAGAAAGGAAGGGCCGTCTTCCCCATTCACTCACTGGAGGGGAACTGACACACACAGACCAAGTGATTTGCCCAGACTCCCACAGGCAGCCGGTGACAGAGCTGGGAATTGAACCCTGGTCCCAAGTCCCAGTCAAGTGTTTTCCGCTTCTCCTTCTGGGGTTCATGTATTTCTTTTTGTGCCTCAGTTTCCCCCCTAGGTTAGGAAGTGGAGCCCCTACCATGGGTGTCAGAGAGGGCAGCGCGTCAATGCTGCTGTTGCTGCTCTGAATCCTCGCGGTGACCTTTCTCCCTCCGATGCAGGTCTCCGCCAACTGCGACGTGAACAAGATGACAAACACCAACCTGGCAGTGGTTTTTGGCCCCAACCTGCTGTGGGCCAAGGATGCAGCTATCACCCTCAAGGCCATCAACCCCATCAACGCCTTTACCAAGTTCCTGCTGGACAACCAGAAGGTGCTGTTCCAGGACGTGGAGGCCTAAGCTGGGGCCAGCCCACACTAGCACACTGTGCCCACCTTCCCCCTCCCTCTTCCTACCTTGTGGAGCTGTGGCCAGGAGCCTCCGGTACAGAGGGTTCATTAGAGCTCAGGCAGTGAGCAGAGTGAGGGCTGTGGAGATGGTGGGACTGCAAAAAAGCAGGTGACTATTTGCCAGAGGTAGGGGAGGGGAGCTGGTCTCCCCATTCCTGGGAGCGGAGGCTTGTCCCCCCAGCCATTCTGTGCAGCTCTTCCCTGGCCATGCTGCTGTACTGGGGGCTGTTCTCTCTCTCTCCTTCCCTCCAAGGGCTCCTTTCTGCCCTCCTCTCCTCCCTCCAGCAGTCCTGCTTCTGTGCAGCTCCCCAGATCCCAGCTCATTCCTCCTTCCTGCATCAGCTAGGCTAGCAGAGCCAGGGAGAGCTTGGCTCGATTGGTGGGGCAGGATGCCAGCCCCTCCTATCGGAAGCTGTCCTGGCTCCTTGCCCCCAGCTGGAGCAGGTCAGGTAAGCCTTGTGCTGCCTGTGTTGCTCCTGGGCTAATAACAACCCAGTGTACAAGTGAAGGAGTAACTCGCTCTCGGGGGGTTGGGCCACTGCGCTCTGCCAGAGACTCTGTGATTGAGGGGAGTTGGCTTAGCCCTGCCCTCTGCTGGCACTTTTACACCAGGGAGCCAGTAATGCCTCCCCAGGGGGCACTGGCACTTACTGCCATTACTGGTCACTTTCACCAAGAGGTGGGTGTGCGGGCCTGGGGTCTGGGGTGTTTAGCATGTGGTAGCCCAAGACTACTCAGTTCTGGCTCTAATGGGTCCCCTTGGCTTTGTCCTTGGCTCCTGGTGGGAACGTTTCATTCCAGACCCGGCCTCAATGGGTATGTGCTACCTGGGGATGCAGGGCCCCCTTTGTAATGCTCTGTGGTCAGTAAGCTTGTTGGAATCATGCAGGGGCAAGTGCCCTGGCGGCACTTGACTCCCCGTTGCCAAAGCCCACAATTAACACTGCCTTTCTTTGTGGCTGCAGCACAGGGACACTCCTGGGGCCCCAGCTTCTCTGCTGGCTAGCCCCGATCCCAGCTGCTTTTTGACTTTGCGGGTGTGTGGAAATTTATCCAGAAAAAATGTAAGTCAGAATGTGGCCTGAAAGGAGGGGCCTGGGCACTGAGGTCAAACCTTAGTCAGAGCGTGCAGGGCCTGGATTGCAGGAATGTGTCCAGGGCTGAGCTCTCAGGTGCCAAAGCTACCAGGAGCATTGTGCCATACAGCATGCCCCAAGCCCAGTACCTCCCTGCCCCATGTGTCCCTTCCACCCTGTCAGGGGAGCTGCTTGGATGCAGCCCTTATGTGCAAGGCGGGTAGCGAGGGAGCTGGTTCTCTGCAGGCCAGGCTCAGGAACAAAGCAGGCAGATCCCCTTGTGAGGCAGGTGCACTGCAGTCAGTGCCTCAGGGTTGGTTGTAGTATGTGGGGATCCCCTCTGCCACTTGCTAAAGTAACTGGGAGCTCACCTCTCCTGTTCTTGGCCTTCTCGAGAGAGGCTTCCATACTGGAGCAAGACTCTCTGTTTCTAGCCTCGCTCCCTAAGATCCATAATCCTTGTGTCCTGCTGTGCCAGGGGCTAGTCCTGGGCCTAGCTGCAGCCCAGCCCTGGGGAAACATTGGGACCAAGCACAGCTCATCTTATAAAGTGGCAATTTCCTGTTGGACATTGAGCTGCTTTTAATAAGATTTTAACCTGCCCTAGAAGTTGACCAGAGGCTGATACCTTGGTTTAAAAATATGACAAACTGCTGATGAGCATCAACAACAGGAATGGGGTCTCCTCTGCCAGGCCCAGGAGCAGGGACCCAGGATTGGCAGGAACTCTGTCCTGCAGTGCAGCCTAGGCTCAGTGCGGTCTCTCTTGCCATTGCCAACTGCGCACGGGGTGACACCCAGACGGGTGAGATGGGTAAGTGGAGGAGCAGAGAATTCGGAGGAGGGTTGGAGTACTGGCAGTGCATGGCTTGGGGTCAGCCATCCCACATCGGGTGCTGAGGCTCTGGGAGGCTGAAGGGCCCCGTGGGGGAGGCACCAGGCCCAGAGCTGTATGTTCTGCTTTGTGCCAGTTGAATTTCTGTCTGTTGGGCTGGGACACAAATGACTTTTGCTGTGAATGAGTCTATAGTGATGGTCTGAGTGGGTCACTAAGGGCTTCTAATTGAGCTTGACTTCTGCTAGATCCAGCAGCCTCCCGTGGAGGTTTCTTGGGAAATCTGAAGGGACGTGGGGCTCCTACTGAGATCAGGGGGGAGGATAGTGTAGGAAGAGCCCTGTGCTTGTCCCCTGAGCTTTGTTAGGTTATGCTTAGTGTTGACAAGCTCGAAGGGGGTGTGAGATCCCATATCATAGCTTCTATCCACCCCCTCTCAAGGGGAGTATTCCCATCCTGCATGTATGTCAGAGCAAAACTAGGCTGGGATTGCTGATGATATCTGGGCCACAGCTCATTGTTCCTTGGCCTAGATTAAATCTCCCCTGAGGAAAGGCAAAACAAGCTCCGTTCCTTGGGAACAATCAGAATCTTAAGGACAGTAGCCCAGAATAGAAATTCCCCCTGGCCTGGCTGCAGACTCAGCTGCTGCTCTCTGAAGTGAATTCCTGCCCATGTGTGCACACAGCTGGTAGTACTGAAGCCTGAGCTGGTCCGTGTTGAGAAATCAGGGTGGGGCAGCCCAGGGGCTGGGAGGTATTTCCATAACCTCCCAGAAACACTAAAAAAAATTCTATGTAGTTAAAACTCCTGCATTTAGGGGCTTTCCTATTTGAATATAATGGTGCCCGCTGCAAAGCCCTGTGCTAGTGGCTAACTCTGCTTCTGGGGCAGAGCTCTGCATGGGGAAGGGAGCAGACCTGGCGAAAAGTCAGGGTGTTGGTACTGCACATGGTGAGAATGGGCTTCCAAGGTTTTGGGAGAAATCCAGTGTAAATATTCCCATTCCTTTATCCACTCCCCTGCCTGATCTACTGGCCCTGCCAAGAGGCCTGGGACAGGCATGGCAGCTATGGCTACTTTACTTCTCAATTTAGTCTTCTGGATGCCTTTTATGAAAATATTACACTTGGGCTTGTGTGTGAAGCGGTGGCCTGGGCCTGACTGCAGCCCTTGGCTTCCCACACTGGATGGCAGGTGAGTGACTGAGCCCACATCTCTGCCAATGAACTGGGAACTGAACTGCCTTCCCTGTCTGGCTGCCTCTGGGGCCGTACAGTCTGAGGCAGAGCTGGGAGAGAGGTAGCATGAAGGTAGCTAGAGTGACTAGAGGATCAACCTTGGCCCAAGAGGCCACACTAGTCCCTGCTGCCTGTAAGTGATGGTTGGCAGCAGGTATGGGGTTGCATGGTTACTCTGTGTATTTGTCTCCCATAAAGTGTCCTTGTGGACACAGCTGCCCAAGAGCTTCTTTCCCAGCGCGGCTTCTGCATTAATATTGACCACAGTGGCCCTTTCGGGGTGAAACATTGTCTCCCCTCTGGGCCTTGCTCTGCAGTGCTCAACTCCTCTGCTTCCCTTATTCCAGTGGTATCTGAGCAGCCAGTGAGTATACACTGCACAACTGGCTCTAGCAGTCAGCCCCTCTACCTGTCTTTTCTGGAGCAAGAGCCTTTGGGTGGTGCAGATGAGGCACGGCTAATTTGATGCCTTATAGTAACTTCTCTCCTGACTTGGCAGAGACCTCTGAGGGCCAAACTAGTCCCTGACTGCTCTTCCAAGCAGTGGGGCTCTAGTGCAGTTCACAGCTTTGCTTTTTGTTGGTGTTCCCTGCCTTCTCTCCAGTTGGTGTTTGGCAGGCGCAGGGCTGGGGGTTTTACTGTAACATTAATTCACATCAATTTTTATTTCCTTCTGTGCTGCACCAATCTTGTATTTCACAGTTTGCACTTTTTGTATTTCAATAAAAATCAAAACCCAGCCCCAGAGCATGGTGTGCTTGTTCCAGCTGCAGCCTCTGCAAGATAAAGCAATGTGGTCCCTGCCCTGTAGGGCTTACACTCACAATACACCAGCCAGCAGGGAGAGGGGTAGAACACAAGCAAAACACACTCTATGGTCATAGCAAACTGCATGTTAGATCATGACTATTTTGGGGGAAGATGTGTGTTGAGGTCTGTGTGTGGGGAAAATAGCTTTACTTTTGTGGGGAGGAAGAATCAGCTAACATGGAAGGGCTGTTGAGGTGGTTAAAGGTGAGGTAAAGGGCGGGGGGGGAGCTGGAGCAGGCAGCCACTCAGCATGAGGCAGGCAGAACTGTAGATAGTTGTGTGACTGTTCAAAGTTTTCTGCTGTGGCTGGTTCTGCTCCTACCAGTTGGGAGTCTCTGGCTGACTTCTCTTTGCAGCCCACAGGGGGAGGACAAGACAGCACCATCTAGACCTGGGCTGTGGGGGTTTCTGTGCCAGGGAAAGCTTGGTAGGTTTCAGCCCCCATTGTGGTGCTTGAGCGGAACAGGACAGACTCAGCTCAAAGCCCTGAAAGAACAGTTACCGTTTTTAAGTGTACTTTGAGATGTGTTGCTCGTGTCCATTCCAGTATGTGCACAATCATCAGAAGGCTTTTCCCTAGTGGGATCTATAGGATTGTCTGTAGTGGCCCCTGTGGTGATGCCTCATGGCATCACACACATACCCCTACCAACCTGACCCCGCTTTAGTTCCTTCTTGATGAAAGTCTGATTGAGGGGAAGTAGATGGATTGTGAGCAACACATCTCACAGAGCAGCAGTTACAAAGGTAATAACTGTTCTTTCTTTTTCAAGTGATTGCTTGTGTACATGCCAATATGTGACTTACCAGCAGGTTGTACAGAGGAGGGCTCAGATCTCAACTTGTTCTTGAGTGCAGTACAGCTCTGCCAAATACTGCATCAACCTGGAACTATTGGGTGAGGTTATGAGTGGTGAAGATATTTACTGAGAACCATGTAGCTGCTGTCCTGCAGATGGCCTGAATTGGGACTTGTGCTTGAAAGGCCACAAGCGAGGCTTGTGCCCAAGGTGAATGTGCTGTAATGTGTGGCTGGCATGTTGGCCAAGTCATAGTACAGCTTGTTACACCTATTCATTCAGGATGACAGGTGCTCCCCCTAAAACTAACTATTCTAAGTAACTTTAACAACTAACCTACACAACAAGAACACTATGCTAGGGCCTAACTAATTGCGAAGCAAGAAATCAGAAACTCGCGGTGTGGAAAGAAGGAACTGAAGAGGGAGTTTAGGTGGCAGGGGTAATGTCACCCCAGCAGGACACCACAAAGGGTGGCTGACCTGACTGATAGAAAAGTCTTCCATCAGTTTGGGTGGCACAGACACACACATATTGGAATGCACATGAGCAATCACTCAAAAAATGTGGCCTTTTGACTTTTTCAGATACCATCAGGGGTCCTCGATGAAAAGGCTGGCGCCTCCTGCATGAGGGGCACCTCCAGTCTCTTAGAGAATACTGGTTATTGCAGTACTAGTTGGGCTAAGATTTTGAAAGCTGACCAATATCTAGGTAGGGGCTATTAGCACTGATGTGCTGATGAATTTTGCCTTTTCCACCCAGGATTGTCAGGCCCTCAGCAGAGTTGCTTACTGGGAAAGGTGTGTTCTGCCCTGACATACCTGTAGACTGGTCTCCTCGTTAGGGATGTCATGGGTTAACCAGCATGCCTCACCCTTACAGGATGATGCATACCAGTTAACTGGTGTCCTGGCTGAACTGTAGCAGCTCCTTGCCCACCTGCAGCATGATGGGCCCACCCACTGTGCCACAGGCAGAGGGCTGCTCTAGCCCAGCCAGGCCCGCCATAACCTCCCATTGGGATCCCACTTAACTGGTTAAGTGGAATTTTACATTCCTACTCTATGCAGAATAGTTTTGAGAGTAGAACAGCAGCATACTCAAAGCTATTCTGCTTGGCACCCCATGAATGCAATTGTCTGCTGTGAGAAGGATCTGTGATGTTTGTTGGTAGAGGAAGCAGGCTAAACCGAGCTGGATTTTCTACTCCCAGCTGAAACTTGAAGTGCTGCCAATCAAGCTTTTGTTTATAGAGAAGTCACAGCTAGAGAAGCAAGATAACATCTCTGTGCCCATAGCCAGCCTGGGAATTAATTATTCAAGTGCAAGCACATGCTAAAAGGGATTTACAAGTATTTGGGGCTCTCTTCCAAGAAGCCCATTGTTCTGTGCTAGCTCTCAATTTCTGTTCACCTGTTCTACCCCATATTGTGCAACATGGCACTGGGACAGGGTTTCTGTTCATACTGGCTGAATGAACAGTGCAGTCTGCACAAGATAGCCTCCCCCCCAACCCTCTCTCCCCCATCCAACGTTACAGCAAAGATTCTCATACCACCACCTCCTCCTCCCTTTTAGATTCTCTTCCCTAATGCCTCTGAGGCAGTAATACTGTCTGCACTTTAGCAACTCTGCCCTTTTGCATTTCATAACTTTCCTCATTGCATCTCATTCCACCTTCTGAAACAGGAGCTTGAAGGAATTAACCCTGCTTCTTCCCTCAGTTGTACCAATGTCTGCAGTTAAAAACTGGCTGGTTGAAGGGAAAAGCCGTAAGTGGGAACATCCCAGAACCGGAATCTGCAGCGTAATTCACAGAAGAACTGAATCAGCATGACAAACAGTTAAGAGTTGCTTACATAAAAGTTTTTATTGGAAATTCTTTGAATACATGAAGTGCATTGGAGACTATTGCCAAAACAATGCAATTTAGTACCCTTCACCCAAAGCATTTGTAGGCCATCAGCTATGTACAAGCTTCCTTGACATAGTACAGGACTAAGCAGATGGCTATTAAAATTATGACATTCACTATTAAATTCTACAGCAGGCCACAGCATCAGCAGCTAGGTTCCTCTTGCAGAAGTGCTGTGAGCCAGTCATTTCTAATGAGTTGATTAGACAGAGCTGAGAGCCTAGATTCTGGAATGGAGGTGTCAAAACTCAGGATTGCCCAGGAATAAGCACACACCTCATTCCAAGAGAAACCTTTTATTGCTGTAGCTATCAAGCTATATCTTATCAACCCATCTGGGCAGATTTCCACGGGGTAGCATTAAATAGAAACCTGGTTGTGGTGCACAAGTTCTGCCTTGTGAGATACAGGAGCTGTGATCTTGAAGTCACATGAAAATGACCCGAGCACAGACACTAGGCCCTGGAGGCTTTTGGGACAGCAATAGCTCATCTTCTGTGGATACCACAGCAGTTCAGTGCAAAGCTGAGAAAGAACTACAGAAGCAATGCTGCCTAAGAAAGGGTCACCACCAAGAATGCCTATTTGCTTCTTCCTAGCAGTCCTGACAATGCATGCCAGTAGCTTACTAACCTTTATGAAACTCTTTAATGGGAGAGCTCCTCCAGGCATAGCCTGAAAGTTAAAGAGCAGGGAACCAGAGCACATCCACATGCAGCTTACTACAAGACTCTGGAGAATGATCAGCTGATTAAAGGGAGTCAGGAGATCTGGGTTCTATTGCTGATGAACCTAGCATTTACTCACCATGTGACTTTGGACAAATCACTTGACCCCTGTGTGTCTGGTTTCCACAGCTGTACTGTGGGGATGCAGCCTTCTTCACAGGAAGGTTTGTAAGGAAATTGTCAGCAAGAGCTTTGAAGCTCTGTTAGTCAGTGCTATTTACAGGGACAGTGGGATTTTTTTTATCTCCAACATTTCACTTCACTGGGATGCTTTTCAGCACTGGGGCAGACAGGTGATTGGATTACTCCTTGCAAAACAAGGATCCTTTCTATATGAGAGTTAGTTGGATTGGGTGAGGGGGGCCTGGGAAGGGAGAGTTGGCAGTTTCAAGAAATTATAAAACCCCTACCCATTGCTTTAGAACATACACTAAAGCACTTCCCCAGATCATATACAACAAATGACGGTCACCACAAGGGATGGGAAAGCAAAAGAACAACATGGTAGCACCCTGGGAATCTTCAGAGCAGCAAGAACGGAGGGCTGCAGAGGTCATATGGTAACCCAAGGTCTCACGTCATTCTCTAGCAAGCCTCTTTTTCAGTCTAAGGAATTGTGCTGAACTCTGGAGGAAGCCACATCAGCCTTTTGGATCATAAGGCTGGTTACTCCACCAGTGGAAAGGAAACTAGCAAGGATCCTCACAAGACAGAGAACTCTTCCCCTCCTCTCTCTCTCCCGCCCCCGAAACACTGTCTGAGGATAGCTGGGGGACTCGCAGGAGTCTTTTCGGTTACTCAGCCCAGTTACAGGTGCCTGAAGAGCAAAGATTTGCACAAGCCCAATTTCAAGTTCCTGCTTAGTGCCAGTACACAGTATCTCCCTTCCTCAGGTGGGACAAAGGACACACAACAAGCAGAACAAACACAGAGCACTGCCAACCAATCACGCTGCTCAAGAGCAGCCCATTACAAAAATAAACTTTTAGCTAATCATAAGCCAGCGGATTAAAGAGAGTACCATCAACTTTTCAAAAGTGTGCTTCTGTGAACAAGCTGCCTCCCGGACAGCTAAGGAACAGAACAAGTTCATTTCCCAAGCCTGTCGGAACGTAGCTCTTCAGGAAGTCCCTGCCACTCTGTTGCACCAACATGTGCATGTTATTACATTTGTGCCCTGGCTGGGTGCCATGGAAAAAGCCCCCAGCACAGAACACTGTATTAGAGTAAATAAGTGTCTCTGAAAATAAATATCTTGGATTTTCCCCAACAAAGGCAGACATGTCATGGACCAGGGCTCCATGGCACAATGGCTGCCTGCAGTGACAGGACAGAATGACCCGCCCTAGTATGTCAAAATGTAACTTTAATATAGGTTTCTTTAAAAGCAATAAATATTTCCTGTTTCTTATATATTAACCATAGAGCAGCAAGGTTTGCAGAGAAAAGGAAAGATCCTTGGACAAAGAGGGCTAGTTACATAACCCTGGAGTTACAGAATTCCTATTTATATTTACAACTACATTTCAAGAGCAGCAACTACAAATTTAACATACTCTCTGGTGCCACTTGCAGATGCACCAGCACAATCACAGTCCATATGCTCAAGAAAGCCTTCCCACACAGCTTCTGTAGCTTCAAACCTGTGATTTGGACAGACACACCCAGCACAAGGCCCTAGGGAGAGAGTCTGCACAAAGACCCAATTCCTTCAAAGCAGAAAGTGAACGTATCTATAGAGGCAGCACTGTATACAGCATAAACGGGAAAGACTGCCACATCCCCTGGTGCTTTGCAGTCCACGTGCTCTCATTGAAGTCAGGATGAAACACCCCATTTCTAAGAGCTGATGTCCTGCACTCGAGATGGCTGAGTCTGCCAGTGCACAGGCCCTTCGTCCTGAGCCAAGGCTATCTATGCTTCAAGTGCAATTGCAGACCCAAGGAAAAGATAGCGTCTGGGGCCCAGATGCTAACTCATTTCTGGCAGCTCTTCATACACAGAACAAAGACTGACGGGGAAATGGGTTACTACAACAAAGCTTGATTTCTTTAGTGTTCTAGATAAGAACTCAAATGCCAGTAGGAAAAGAGGCCCAAAACTACTTTCCTGGGGCTTGGCTGAGGAGACTGACATTTGAACCTGTACCCAATATTGAGGGAGGTGATCCAACAAAGCCCACAAGACGCAGAGGAAAATGACACACGAAAGAGAGAGTAGCAGACGGACATTGCGGGCTTCCTCCTCCAGGTACTCAAGAAGCAGGACACTGCTGCTGCAATAAGATAACAGCTTTACTGCAAAGTCTCTACAAAGGCATCAAACTCTCGGACGTTTTTCTCGTGGACTGCCAGCTTCTCTGGTAAGGAATCCTGGGAAGGTAAAGAAAAACTCAGATCAGGGCTCACTCACAGAAGGCGTATCAGCCTAATCAAAAGAAAGCTATAAAACAATGGAAACATAGGGTACACGCTGGCCAAAGATCTCTACGCTGATCTGTGCTCTCTCCCCTTATACATGTACCACTCCTAGCAGAAGCAGGGTATTAAGACAGGCTCCAGAAGTGAACCTGAGAAGGGCTTTTTGCCCAGTTTGTTTTTTCTATAGAAGCAGCTGATGCAAAAGACCAGGTTGTAGTACAATTCCTTTAGCAGCTGCAGCACAATTACTCTGTCATACTATGTGACTAGAGACACTTAGCTGTCAGCATTAGGCATTATAGTTTTCCCAGGCAAAGCCATGTTACAAAAGTGGTGGGCCAATCACTGCATGTATCCAAGCAACACTCTTACTGCCTTGATTGGGAGCTTTGTCTGAATAAGGACTGCAGAATGAAGTCCAGATGTGGCAGAGGCAGCATTCAGTTCTTAGATGTGGATTCATCTAGAGAGTTGAACTATGGCAAGGTTGCCCCTTCAGGTAACAGGCAGTGGCACTCAGATGGGAGATGAGGATGTTTCAGAGCTGCCACAGACTATCATTTAATGGCAGGGTGAAGTAAAAGACACACTCACAAATGCAGCATGTGGAGTAAAAAAGTGGCACATTTCAGGTTATTTTAGAAGTGTAGGCTCCAGGGGTGGGACAGGGTTGGAACGGAGGCAGAATGTTTTCTCCCCAGAACTTTAGAGCATGGGTTATGCTCGTCTCCCAGTCCTTACCAAATTGTTCGAGAAGAGAGGCACTGACCTCCCAAATTACTTCTTTTCTGTGAATGGTCCTATTTTGTAAGGCTATGAGCTTAGCAGAGACAGGAATAATGAGGAGAAAGTACAAGACTATTAGAGCAGGGAAAAATGTTGGACAGTGGAAGAGTCCTGCAGCGGCAATGGCCTCTGGGAAGAGGATACCCAATGAAGCACACAGATACAGCCCCACACACATATAGCATAAACCAACAACTCAATGGCAGCTGAGAACGTGCACTGAGAAGGAATCAGATTGGAAGGAAACAGATGTGAGCCCTTTTCAAAGGTCTCAAGTTCTGAGATGTACAGGTGTGTTCAGCAAATTGACCGGGGACCCTGCTGGTAGGTGCCTCTGCTCTCTTACGGGATGTTGGCTTGTTCAGGGAGCTAGGAGGAAGAGAGTATTATGAGAATGTATGTCCCTCACACACCAAAATTTTCCCATACCAGATCCTCTGCCATGGACTGAGCCCCAATGTCAATGGAAAGGCTGCTGAGCTGAGGGGGGTTCTGAAACTCGCGGTAGAACGTCCCCAAGTCCATTGGAAGAATGTCATCTTTTGAGAATGCTGGTTTCTAGAATTAAAGATACAAAAATTAACCCCCATTCAGAGAGTTCTGTCAGACTTCCCACTTTGCTCTTTTCACAGACAGAAAGCACCATCTGCTACCAGCAAACTCCTCAAAATTACAGCAACAAATATAAGTCAAATAATTGAACAGCAGCATCAGCTATATCCCCTGCCACCAACAGAATGAGTGTTTCCCTGATGAGCTCATGTGCCTCTAAAGCACTACATTTCCCTAGACCCTGCTTTAGGTGTATGGGACACAGGGACAACACAAAAACAGGCCATCATGGATAATGGAGAAGGAAATAATATCCTCAAGTTGTGGGTTTACAAACATAAGTGCCTTTACCATTTTTTAGGATGCCCAGGGCCCCTGTCCTTGATGTGGGAGCACAATGAGCTTTGGTTTGAAGAGAATCATCTATTTTCATTTCATCATCACACAAACACGTAGCGCCCACCCCAAAAGAGTAAAGCACTAGCTTGGGCTGATAGAGGACTGCATGGACTTACAAAGTCAACCATGACAAAGTCATCATGTGTGTTCCCGGTGCTGCTGCCACTGGAGCCCTCTGAGTGCAAGCTGCCCTGTAGAGGAGACTCAACATCTGGGGAGTCAGGAGGATTCACCTGCCCAAGAAACCAGAGTTCATCAGTTTCAGGTCCTGTCACTCAGCCCATCTGTGTGATGTGACAGCATAGCAAGAAGCACAGTGACAGATACAAGAGTGTGCAGACACGAAGCACAGACTAGTGGGGGCTGTAAATCTGCTGTTTCTATCTCTGGAAAGCCCAAACTCTGGCACACAAGTGGTTGTTAGAAACCAGCTGATGCAAGTAGCTGGTTCTTTGGTCAGAAGAGGCATGCAAAGCTAAGTTAGGAAGGATACATCCATATTGCATGATCCATACTTGAAACATACGGATGGCTCAAGAGGGGCGGGGGGAGGTCTTACCATGGGGTCATTATCTTCCAGCTCAACATTCTTGGGAGCAAACATGGCAAAAGGAATGTCCAAGCTGGCCATGGTTACCTGGAGAGATTCAATGGGCATAACATCAGCACTTCTGTAAAAGTCTTTGCTTATACAGGATGCACCATCTCATTGCAAGGCTTTATGTCAGGATCTGCTAAACTTTACCCAATCAAAGTCATACTGGCAACATGCCAGGAACCCAAGGGCTACACTTAGAGGGCATAACATATGACAGGTTGCTGCCAACTTCCTCTTTAATACACAGGTGTGACCCGCAGAGCCACCAGGCCCAGCATGCAATAAAGCACTGCATTCAGAGACCTATAGTCCTTACACAGCTCTGACTTCCCATTTCCTATGGCTGCCCTCGTGACGTAGGATTTCCCCCTCTGTCCAGCAATGGAAAAAAAGAAACAGCGGCATGACAAAAAGTGCACCCCAAGTCCACAGCAGAATGGTCACTGCAAATTACCTGATTAATGGGTTTGTTGACAAAGGCCCCCACCTTCCGGACAAAGATGGTCTCCAGGAGGTCATGTGGGGAACCACTCTTCCCTTCGCTGCTGTTTGATACTGTTTCCGTGTCCTCACTAGGGAAGAAGGTGAGAAGTGCTGATGGCTCATTGCACATAAACAATAAGACAAACCACATTCTTCTGATAAGATTTCCTTGTTTTTTAGGCCCTCGCCCAGAGCTGGGCAGGTGAGGTGGGAGAAGCACAAAGCATCCCTGTTCTTGTCAGAATTTTCCCTTCAGCCACCAGGATGCAATAGGGACTGCAAAGCTGCAGAGCAGCTTTCTGCTTGGCTCTGAGAAGGAACCAAGGAACCATCCTATCAGTACGGCAGAAAACCTTAGGACAGGCTGCTCAGAAGAGGTGAATGAGAATGGAAGGGAGTTAATTTTAGAAATTACAAGAAAGCCTGAGCAGTTCTTGCCAATTATTCTTTCCGGAACATACAATTCTTGGATATATTCCCTGTCAGGAGACCGTGTCAGGAATCCCAGGCCCCATGAAGCGAGAGTAGTCCAATAGTACAGCAGCCAGTGCCAATCTGATTAATTTTCATTGGGTGGCTTATTCAGTATATTCTCAAAACCTGATTTTCAAAAGTATTCAGAAGCTCTAAAAATCTGGGCCTCAGTCTTCCGGCAGGCTTTAGCCTTTTGATGGTGACTGGTTAGTTAAGGAGCATAGGACAGTGCATTAGTGCTACTGTAACAAACTGGATTTTTTTTAAATTGAGTAAAAAGCCAAGTTGGTTAAAATGTTTTCTATGGCAACTGTCCCATGGCCATGAGAGGAGATGGAACCACAGGGGAAAAGGGGTTCTGGAAACACAAACAGGAAGAGCTAACTGGCTGAAAAGGAGATTAGGTTTTCATGCAATTTGGAGTTTAAAGTTGCATTGTTTTCTGTTCAACAAGGATTCCTGCCCCCAAAGTTTCTTAATATAACAGTTAAATAGCTGATTTCTATTACTAATGTTTTATAACAATTGAGGAGATGGAACCACAGGGGAAAAGGGGTTCTGGAAACACAAACAGGAAGAGCTAACTGGCTGAAAAGGAGATTAGGTTTTCATGCAATTTGGAGTTTAAAGTTGCATTGTTTTCTGTTCAACAAGGATTCCTGCCCCCAAAGTTTCTTAATATAACAGTTAAATAGCTGATTTCTATTACTAATGTTTTATAACAATTCAGAAGAAGCCTTTTTTTTTGGGGGGG